TTTTGTTTAAAAGATTAAAATAGGTTATCTTAATAAAATTTTGAGTAATTTAGATTTGTTTTTTTATTCAAAATTGTCCACAATTGTCCACAAATTGTCTAAAGCTGTCCCGTGCCAACACTGCTTCACACCACCTATCTTATTCAGTAATTTTCTCTTTTTGGTTCTTTTTTTATCACTTTTTCACTGTTTTTTCGTCGCTTTTTTGATGCTTTTGCTGCCTCTTTTGTTGTTTTTTTAGCTGTTCTTTCGGGTTTTTTCATTGTTTTTTGGTGCTTATTTTGGTGCTTTTTCATCACTTTATTGATACTTCACATTGCTTTTTCAGTACTTCTTTCATTATTTTTTTCAGTACTTCTTTCATTGTTTTTTTCAATATCTTTTTTGTTGTTTTTCATTGCTTTCGTCTCTTTTCTGGTGCTTCTTTCATCATTTTTTTCGTTGCTTTTGTCGCTTTTTCATTTTTTTTAGCCACTGCTTTACTGAGCTCAATGTTGACTTTAACGTTGATCTCAACATTACAATCAACATTGAGGTCAACATTGAGGTCAACGTTGATTTCAGTGTTAAAGTCAACATTGAAATTAACATTGAAATTAACGTTGATTTCAACGTTAAAATCAACGTTGATCTCAATGTTGATTTCAATGTTGATTTCAACGTTGACTTTAACGTTGACCTCAACATTGATTTCAATGTTGATTTCAACGTTGGCTTTAACATTGAAATCAACGTTGATTTCAATGTTGATTTCAACGTTGATTTCAACGTTGACCTTAACATTGATTTCAACGTTGATTTCAACGTTGACTTTAACGTTAACCTCAGCGTTGACTTCAACGTTGATTTAATGTTGATTTCAACGTTGACTTTAACATTGACTTCAACGTTGATTTCAATGTTGATTTCAATGTTGATTTCAACGTTGACTTTAACGTTGAAATTAACATTGACTTCAACGTTGACCTCAACGTTGATTTCAACGTTGACTTTAACGTTGACTTTGACGTTGATTTCAACGTTGACCTCAATGCTGATTTCAACGTTGACCTCAACGTTGATTTCAACGTTGACCTCAACGTTGATTTCAACGTTGACCCTCAACGTTGACCTCAACGTTGATTTCAACGTTGACTTTAACGTTGACCTCAACGTTGACTTTAACGTTGACCTCAACGTTGTCAACGTTGATCTCAATGTTGACTTTAACGTTGATCTCAACGTTGATTTCAACGTTGATTTCAATGTTGACTTTAACGTTGACCTAAACGTTGATTTCAACGTTGACTTTAACGTTGACCTCAACGTTGATTTCAACGTTGATTGTAATGTTGACTTTAACGTTGAGATCAACATTGATTTCAACGTTGAGGTTGTTGATTTCAACATTGAGGTTAACGTTGAGGCTAACGTTGACTTTAACGTTGACTTCAACGTTGACTTCAATGTTGAGGTTAAGGTTGACTTTAACGTTGACTTCAACGTTGATTTCAACATCGTTTACGTTAAAAAATGATTAGTTAATTGTATGGTTGAAAAATTTAAAATAAAGTGTCGACCTCCGGAGCCAAATCGGAAGTGATCTGCAGCCCGGGATTTTATTGACATAAGGGTACTCGTTTCTTCTTGTTACTGTGATCACGTTAATTTTCATGTGAATTCGATAGTCACGATTATAACGATTTGATAATTATGTTGTCAATTGTGCGTAATTGTACAGTATGCACATGATCTTGTTTAATGAAAAATTTCTCACGATCCTAACGATTCGGAATTATGTCGTCAATTGCATGTAATTGTACAATATGCACATGATTTAATTTAACCAATCAAATCATGAATAAATAACCAATCAACGTGCAGATTCACGGACAGATTTCTTTATTGTATATTCTAATATTCTAATAACTAATAACTAACTAATAATAATAACTGATAATAATAATAATTAATAATAATTAGTATACAAATAATCCATTCTTAAGAACTTTTTCATCGAAATTTACATAGTGTAATATTTTACTGATGAATTCACATAGCGCATATATTGCAAATTTGGAACTTTTAATGCCAGCAAGCATAGCATTAAAAGCAGGATGTTGTGGAGTTTATGGGATTATAGCGTATATGTACCTGAAGCATTAGACAAAGATCAACACATAGTACTATGGTGTCAGATAAATTTATTTACTCATTCGGGGAGATTCTATATTAAAATTCACAATAATTTTTATAATTAAGAATTCCGGATAGGACTTGAGAACATTTCACAATGTTATGTAGCTACAGAATGGCGGGAATGAAAATACTGTATTTTATATTAGATAAAATGTTAGAAAAATTTTAAAGGCTTATAAACAAATATCTGATGATACTTATAAAAGCAAATATTTTATCAAGCTATTATTTTTTTTTAAGAAATAAGATTTGTTCATTACTACTCTTACAATTATTTAACAGATAGCGAATTAAATGAATTAAATATTACAGAATAATATAAAATCTTTATAACCAAGTGGTATGTGCCTGTCTTTATCTGTCTTAACCTTTTGACTAGCTATCATTGCGGAAAAACCATATAATAAATTGTAAGTAAGTAATAATTGTAATAAACATAGTAACCAATTAAACATAATTGATAAGTCTACCCATTGAGAATCTTTAACAACATTAAAAAACATTTTTTTGAGAACCTAAAAATTTAAATATACTGTATGTCCTTAGAGAACAAAAAAATTTTTAGACACTTTTTCACTTGTATAAAGAGCGGAATGTGATAAATCTTTGAATTTAAGTACTTACGAGTACATTCCCTGCATAGTGGTGGAGTACCAGAACACCCAGAACATGCAAATTTACAGGAACCACAGCGGACCGAACATTTTGAAGTACAAACACCAGAAATGAAATTGAGAGAACTGCAAAAAGGTGCATCGGTACAATTGGAAGCAACAAATATACAGGTACCGCACCGACCAGTGCAAACAGAACTACATTCAGGATATTGTTTAATAATAGGAGAGGCTAAAATCGTAGAGAAGACGATCAAGAAGATCCAGAAGATTAAAATTTTAAATTCCATCATCATGAATAATGAAAGGGGATCTAGAAAATCAGGTAACATTTAATACTGTAATATATTTGACAATTTATGAGTCATCTGATGAACATTGTGTAATTATTAATTATGTAAAATTACTTTTTTAGTTAATATTGCTAATTCCTTAAGTATTTAATTTGCTACTTACGCAAACGTAAGGAGATCATGAATGGTGGTTCAAAACTATAGAATATAGTATATGTATGTATAAAGAATGTAATTCTCCCTTACATACATAAATGTTTATATTAATCATTTTTATTTTTATAATCCAATATTATAAAATTTGCCCCGCATAACTATAGTTACGACAAAAGATATGATGTACAAATATTTTAATCTTTCTCAGCATAGTTTCAAGAATAGTGTATTCAATGATCATTTCTGTTTCTTTATTCTGTTGCCATTGTTATCAAGGTGGTTGCAGAAACAGAGATTGTTATTGCGAAAAGTTTTCGCAATTTTACGAAGTGCTTATTTGAGGCGTATGTACTGTATAATATGTAATAATGATAAGTCAAGTATTAAATATATTTGTCATCTGCAATGCTGAATAAAATTTCGGCCGAACCGTGATGTTTAATAATATCTATGGAAAATGCGAGATAATTATTACTTAATACTAAGATTCACTTTCAATTTCATAAGTTGAGTAGTGCGGTCAAAAAAAATCAAAGTTTTACTAGAAAGAATCATGTTATAAATATTTACAATAGTTACATGAGATCAGATTTTTCAAGGACCGAGTTAGATAAGATGAAATTCAATGGTTTGGCCCGTATAAATTTGATTATTAGATTTTGAGTTTCATTTGTTTTTTTCAGCGAGAGTTAACTTGAGTAAATTTTTAAACTAGAAGTCTTTTACTTCTATTCGTAAGTCTAATAATGAATTAAGTGTAAAAATTCTCGAAAAACTGAAAAAAGCGGACAAGAATCAAGAACCAATCAAGACAAACAGATCATTCTAGGTCTGAAATGGTAAACACTTCACTGCATGACTACGTGTAGTAAAAGTGATAAATTATAATAAAAATATTTCTATGATGATATGCATATACGTAAGATATTGATTAAAATTATACTTGATACTTCACGATTCGGACGCAAAAATTTGAATATGAATATAAGGCATTAACGCTAATGAATTTCAAGAACCTTTAAAGCTTGGTAATATATATTATAACTTTGAACAAGTCAAAAATATTATTGCCCGAAATGGGTGAAGAATTTATCGTAGTCGAGTTGGTTACATTTATATAGGAAAAAAATAGATCAATAATATGCGATAGAGCACAGGATTTTTACTTTTTCAAAACTATTATATTACATATAGCCGTAAAAAAGAATTTACATTTAAACCTTGAAATCTGAAATAACATGAAATTTACTAATAACTAATTATATATGTTCGCGATAAATTAATTTATAGTTGATTGTTTTCAGAATAACGTCGATTCAAATTCATTATACGTGTTTCAATTACTGCAGTAAGCTTCACGAAAAACCATCAACTTTCTATTATTACAAAATTTTAAACTTTTAAAGCTTAAAATAAAAATAAAAGGGAGTTTCAAAATTAATATCAGAGAATATTATTTTATTTTTCCGATCTATCATTAGACAGTAAAAATGTTATTGAAAAAATCCTACTTATTTTCGAAATGCGTCACTTATTTGTTAATTTTGAAACTCCCTAAAATAGCTATTTATATTAACAGTTTTTTTTAATTTAAATTACAATCTTGTAATAAATAATAGTTATATCTTTTAACAATCTTGTAATGAATAATAGTTATCTCTTTAACAATCTTGTAATGAATAATAGTTATCTCTTTAACATTCTTGTAATAAATAATAGTTATCTCTTTAGGACATTTTATTTAAAATATTTATTTAGTTACATAAAAACAATTTCCATATATTGTAGCACCTAATTCTGCAAAAATAAAATTTCTTGAATCTTAATATCCAAAATCATCATTATTAGAAGAATCCTTCACATTATCCATAACAGCCCATCCAATAACAGGAGACACAACAGGTTCACTACCCAAAGTTTCAATAATTTCTTGATTAGTTCCAATAAAACCGGCTGCAAATTTCAAAGAAAGCCCAGTATCAGTAGTAAATGGGACTTCTACTGTGCCATCTGGAAAATCACCACCATCTAAAGAATTTGAATTTGAATTTAAAGCAGTTCCTGAACGGTCATAAGGAAAGAATGCCGTGATCCATCCTGTAAGTGTAATTTGTCCTCCAGAACCATAATGTCGTAAAGTCATAACTCGGCTCCAAAAGTCTTTATCAACCTCACCACGATAAGTATCTACTAATTTCCAAATCACAGGTTCAAGGCGATCCAACCAAAAGTCTAATTCTAAATTTAAGTTTCTTAATTTAATGACTTTTTCTTGAAGCTTTGTCCAATCTTCGAGTGTACCTTCAAGTGTAACTTTTGGAATTCCACAAACAAGCATGACTTTAAAACTAAAATAAGCTTTAACCATATCTAATAATACGATACGACTTGCCGTTAAAGAGCTTGAAGTTGTTGTTGAGAAATCACATTCCAATAATTGAGCAAGGTCAATTTTCTCCACACGTTTATCAGTTTCTATAACAAGTCTATTTACGACTTCTGGCCAATTACCTTCAAGGGTATCTTTATTTGGATTTGTGTGTAAGATATCATCAGCAAAGATAGCAACTTCTTTCTTTCCTTCATGTTTAACGAAATAATGACGAAATTTCTCAGCATTATAATTAATATGACGACTAACGCCTTGAGAAATTGTAAGCCAAATATCATCAGGACTTAAACGTAAATGTTGATGGTGATTATAAGCATGAATTATTGCAGCAACGAAACCATTATTAGTACAATAAGGGTATTCAAGAACTGATTGTTTAGAACTGGCAGAATTATCATGGTAAACGGAAACGGTATGTACTTTTTGTTTGTAGAAACTTTTAGAAATTCTATCTTTGACAGAAATATGGGGTTTTATCTCATTTTCAAGCTTTATTTGCTGAGTTAAAATTTGTGTGCTATGAGTATTGGTTGCTGCCTGCATCGTTAATAATGAATTGAAGAAAATTTTAAAAATATATTAAATCATGTCCTACGAATTCTTATTTATAGATTATATGTATTAAAGTTGGCGTAAAACATTAAATGGATTTTTTGATTGTCCGGAGTGTAGCGGAGAATCTTAAAATTGATGTCTGCGCCAAGAGACAAAATGAATTTGATAAATTTATTCTTTAGTGTAACAAAAATATGCACATTTACGCGTTTGTGTAATTTGATGATCATTGAATTTATTCTTTTTTTCATGTGCTCATTTTAGAGAAACTTCTATTTTACGCATTGTTTTTGAAATTTAAGATTAAATAGAATAGTACTCAATTACCTAAATTAAATAAAAATACCTAAATTAAATAGAAATACCTAAATTAAATAGATATACGTCTAGTAACACTACATTGTCAAATAGGTGCAACTAGCATGATCTTCAATACAGCAATCTTGATCGTATTATGTTATTTTCTATATCAATATATAATCCAGGATCAGGTACAATATTATATAATTCATAATCGAGTATAATATGCCAATCTAAGATGCTCACATGATATAGCGAAATTATCAGGAAACTCAAAATTGCAAATTTTTGGTGGATTACTTTTTATATCTCATAAACTCTAGATCAAAGTAAAAAAAAAAAAACCGGCGTGCAAACAACGCCTTCCATGTTTTTAAACTTGAAATCACTTCAAAGAACAGGTCAATATACAAATATATAAGAAAGTACTACTATTATACATGATTATACAACATGTGAAGTTGCCGTATGTATTCACACCACAATAAGATGTAAGATTTTGCGAATGCAAGCCCCTTAATTCGTGCATCCCCTTAGTGATATTATATAATACTCCGTTCTTGGGGATCGTCTAAAGCCAGGTAGTAATTTATATGCCTCACGTGACTTTTACTTTACAAATTTATTATTAATCAACCTAAAAATTACCTTGCTTTAGATGATTCCCGTTTGGTATATATAAATTATCGGTAATGTGTTGTTTATTAACGTGACACATCTTTTCTAATGAATTCCGACTCGGAATTTTGGGAATTGTAACTATATCACGAGGATCAATAAATTGATTTAATGCGATTATACTAACTACTATTTATGTTCGTCATGAAACCATAACCACCCTAATCCTAACTCTAAAAAAATGCTAAAAAAAGTGTACCCCAAAAATTCCCTAATTTCATTTTAATCTGTCACAATAACTAATCGGTAATATTAATCTCATATCATGCATAAAAGCCATGAA